GGGGGGGGGAACAAAGGAGGCCCACAGACCCCCACACACGGCACCACAACCAAACAGAAGGGCAGGCAGCCCCTGAAGTCCTCCCGCACAGTCCCTGCCCCACATACATACCACCATGCTGGGGAACGCGCACCGTCCTCGCACCACAGCCACCGCCAGCACCCGAGACGTCGGGCCGAATCCACGCGGCGCAAAGAGGTAAGGACGAGCAGGGACAGCGGGTAGAACGCCCCCGACCGCAGTCGCGGCGTCACCAGCCTGTACGGAGTGCTGTGACCGGTCGGGCGAGCCCCCCGGTCATATGCAATTCCATTGGGACAAGCCCACAGGCCACTCCGTCGAGACAGAGTTGTCGCAGCCGACCCACCGTAGCAGAGTCTGCATGCGCTCGCCGGCCGCCCAGGGGAGACTACAAGGATCTACCACATCCAGCCTGTCGCCCTGGCAGCACTTGCTAGAAGAATCAGCGAAAAAACAGGAAGAAAGTCAGGTAAGAATACCAGAGAAAAAATTCTTAGCTCCTTACTCCTGACGCTAGGCAAAAAACTGGAGACTTGTCAGCAGGTGGGGGGTTTGGCCACCAGCAGGGGCCGCCCCTAGGCTGTAATTGGTCTTTAGTTTTGTGCCTAGCGTCCTTCTCCTGCAGGTGGCGATATTACCCTACAGTACATGATCCTAGATCTGTTCCCTGTGTCCTTCAATGAACGGAAGAGAAATGAAGATTTCTGCGAGTGGATGCGTCCTTAATGCGCTACTGTTTGGAGCGAATTCTCACACTATATATACATATACACATATTGATAGATAAACTGATAGACAGAAATATACTGATATCTCATCATCTAACCTCTGGCCTTCTTTCCAAAGCTTCCTTCATCAGAGGGTGAAGCTCTTCCACCAATTCCCTAAAAAAAAAAAAAAAAAATATATATAAAAACACATGTAAGCATGAAAAAGAACCAAAAACAGGCAACACCTACTTTACACTTAGAATGAACATGTGTAAAATAGTAATTTTAAAAAGTCAGTACACGAAAATGTTCAAATGTGAAAGTAGTGTTAAATACAACAAATACATAAAAACATTAAAAGTAGATGTAATCCTAATTACTAAAATCTCACAGAAGCTTCAACATATGAATGTAATTCCAACAGTTTGCAATTCTTTTAAATCTGCAGATTTAATTAGGCGAATAACTGGAGATCCTACAAGGTCTTGATTTAGGTACTTCGTGTTACGGGGTGACAACTGTCTCTCAATTGTGTCCCTATGTTGTCACATGCCCCTGATGGTCACTGGAAGAATTTTTTAATTCTGTTTCTTAAACACGTGCAGCCTCTGACAATCATTTCTTTAGTGTCAGAAAAATTCTACTTCATATTTATGTCTAGGGTAGCAGGGAAACAGGCATTTAATCAAAACACAGTGATGAGTTGCGGTGAAAAGAGTGATCAAGGCAGAACATGAAGCTCTGTATTGACAATAGAAGACAACCCCTTTAATCAGGGGGACACTTTATATGTCATACCTGAAGACTAAAGCATTGGTTCTTCCAAAGCCCAGTACCAGGGACTCTGTGATTTCTATGCTCTCAAGTCTCATCATAGGAACCAGTTGTTTGAGCAGAGCACTGATAGAAGGGGTTCCAATGACCTGCAAATAAAGCAAATCGTATTAACATTGTTCTAGAAAGGAAATTGAAAAACCTATGATACTGAATATTTAAAAAATGTCCTACTTTGTTGTCATAGCTGACAGAGCCATCCGGAGTAGTCGCCATGATCTCTGGGGTGGATGCCCTTAAGTGACCCGGGCTCATTATACTTGGTCTGGCCACTCCAAAACAAAGAATCAGATAATTCCTCCATAGAGTAATATAGTTGTCCCCACTGCCCGCTGTACTTGTTTTCTTTGCATTGATTGGGCTGCTAGAATAGTAAACAAAAAAATGCATTAACAGGAAAACCTGTTTTGAACCCAGTTTAATGAGCACAACCTGGTTGTAATATCTAATGCACAGCAGGGTACTGAACTCTGCATTCTAGGTCATGCTAATCTGTCTCTGAACCCCAAGACTGCCTTTAAAAATAATCTCTGCCATACACGCATGTTTTCCATGATTTATCATTTTAACTTTTTCGCTGCTAGAGCCTTTTTTTTCCATTTCTTGTGCACATGCTAAAATTCTGATTTTTTATATAAAAATGCACTAGATCCCTCAAAACATATTCTGAAAGCAGAAGCCCTATAGAATAAAATTATGTACTGTTTATTAAACCCATATTTTCTGTAACAAATACAATTAATTTTAGTGCACATACAGTCTACTCCAGGGGCACCCACAATTTTTCGTTCGGAGATCTAATTTTCAAATGACAAGCTCAATGAGATCTACCAACGAAAAAACACCTCCATTCAGGGGGGGGGGGGGGGGGAGGAAGGAAAGGAAACAGAAAAAAAAAAGACCAAGTGCCCTCCGGCCAGCTCGTCACGCCGAAGCAGCAGGTCGAGCTGGCCACCGGTCCAGTGCGATCTGCAAAAATGTTGCAAGCACTGGACCGGAATGCAGGCAGGCGATCGCACTGTTGGCGGGGGGCACGGCTGCAGTGCCATTGACTTCAATACAACCCCACTCCCCCTCCTGCCCTTGAACGCAGGGAGTCGGCCGGCTTGCATTCCAGTGCGTTCTAGAGGCACCGGCGTCCGGTCCTCCCACGTGGTCGACGTTGCACACGGGGAGAGGTGTCCTGCCCCTTTCCGTCTGCGGAGTCTAACACATTCAGCCAGCAGCCACACGAGCACTGCGGGAGCATAGCCATAGCCAGCTTCTTTTGCGCCTGAGGCAAGAAAAAAAAACGTGCCCCCCTAACAGGCGTGTGACATCACCCCGCCTCCAGTTTTTTTTCTTTTTTTTTAAACTATTTTTTTAATATACTGTATATTATTTTTTAATTTTAAAAAATGTAATTTAATTATTTCCAATTATACAGTATTTCCATTTTTTTTAAACTATTTTTTATTATACTGTATATTATTTTTTATTTAATTTAAAAAAAATTTATTTCATTATTTTTTTTACTGTTGGGGGGGCTTAGGGGAAATATTAGAGGCCTAAACAGCCCCCTGATATTTCCCTTTTGAAATAGAAAAAGAAATTGAGGACACAAAGTCCTCAATCTCTTTTTCTGCAGCCTCTGTTCTAAATGAATGGAAAGCACAGAGGCTTCCATTAATTCAGAAAATATTTACCATCAAGCAGTTTCTGAATGGGGAGGAGCCTCTGTACAGAGTGCTACTCCTCATTGAGAATCTCATGAATGAACAGGAAGTGATGTAAATCACATCCTGTTCATTCATAACTGGTGAGACATAGTACTATGTCTCCCCAGTTATTTACAAACACTGGAGTGATCAGCTGGTCGCTCCAGTGTTTGTCCTGCACAGAGAATTGGTACATATCATTGATATGTACCGATCCTCTGCCGCTCGGCCAACGCACACAGGGGGGCTCAGCTTCTCCTATGGATCTCTGATGGCTCTAAAATGATTCCTCTCACTCCGGCGTGTGAGCTGGTCCCTGAAAAGTGTTGGGCAATTATCATTTTTGTACGAGTGCACAGCTGCTGTGAACAGTTTTGTTCGCATGTGTACATGCATGGGGTGTTTTTAAAAAATATTTTAATCCTATTTATTTTTTTACTGTACTATACCCATATTGCTATCTCAAAGGGACCTTTAATTGTAGGTGACAGGTTCTGTGACCCTTAATGTTACCCCTGTACTTTGTTGAACCAAATCTTGTGCTTCACCAGCTTCTTCCTAAGCCAAAGGCTTGGGTAGTGAACTGCATGTAATCGAACAGTCAGTCAAATAGGTCAATTCACAAAGCTAACACCCCAGGATAAGGATGCATATTTGAAAAAAAATGAGTTATCTTCAGTTAAGTCCAATAAGATTGTAAAATGACAGTCACATGGCTAAAAACAGGTCCTTATCCTTGTGTAAAGCTCTCTGAATTGTGCCCAATGTATTTTATATTTAGCAAACATTTACTTTAGAAAGAATTCCTAGTCTTTATACAGTAAACTCACAGTTATTCGGCACCCGTGGACATGGTAGATGCCGGATAACTGTAGTTTCTGGTTGCTAGTACAATAACCATCTAACTACATCTCATTATCTATGACTTTACTTGGACTTTAAGTATATGGAATGAAATAACACTTACTTGGGATCCACCAGGGGCATCAGTAGCTGTAGCCTGGTGAAAGCGTAGGGCCATGCATAGCTGAGGGCAGTGGGACAATGTTTTGGGAGGTGCTCTTGGCGAAGAAATGTGAAGAGACAGAGAACCCATGGATCTTTCACAGATTGTGCAAAGATCCAAACGTGGGAAGGGCTTTTCACATCATAGTGACTGTTCACTAGAACTGCGTTCCAGTCCACCAACCACTGAAGGTCCACATTGTGTGTAAATGGCAGGGCAGCCTGGGAGGAAATGAAGTCCAAGTTTTATTCATAACACAAATGCTGAGTAAATCAATTAAATCAAAATATAAAATTTGGTCTACATCAAGAAAAATAGATCACATAAACCTAACTGGATCCATTATCCATCATAACTGCAGCCTCAGTTATAATTAGGGATGCACCGATACTAGTATCAACATCGGTGCCGATTCCGAGTATTTGGGCGAGTACTCGTATTCGCCAAAATGCTCCGATGCCTAGCACGAGTACTTCTGCTATCAGGAAGCTGGGCAGCGTGTCATTTCACGCTGCCCAGTTTCCTGATTGGCCGTGAAACGGCTCCATGCTCTCTCGTCACTTGTGATGAGAGAGCATGGAGCCGACTTCCCGGCCAATTAGGAAGTAATGACGCGCTGCCCGGCTTCTTGATTGGTCGGGAAGCTGGCCAATCAGGAAGCTGGCCTCGTGAGGTAAGGTTACCGTACCTTAGTATGTGCAGCCTGTCACCCCCGGGGCCTCTCCTTAGCACATACTAGGGTAAGAGGGGACTTTCTTGTTAATCGGGAAGCCGGGTGGTGAGTCTTTACACACTGCCCGGTTAATCAGGAAGCCAGGTGGCGAGTCATTACACGCCACCTGGCTTCCTGAATGGGACTTCCATTACTCGGTAATTGGTATCGGCGAGTACCGAAAAAAATTATCGGTACTCGGTACCAAAATACCGATATCGGTGCATCCCTAGTTATAATGCATCTTATTTGACTATGTCAAGTACCTAATAATATGACATAAGAGTGTGACACTTATGATGATCTGCAGGGGGGGGGTGTCACAGGTATACTAAAGAAACGGCAAATATAAAGGGCTACAAGGGACTGTAGCAATCCGAACTATGAGAAAACAGAATTTGGGGCACTCACAGCTTTCTTGTTCTCCTTTTTGCAGCTTTTGCATACAGAGGTTCAAGAATTAAGCCAACATCAGTTTTACATGTCTTACACATGCTTTCTCAAGACATACATCCTGTAAGACATGTGAAATGGACATTGGCCGGATTTCTTAGCCTTTGTAATAAAAACTGCAATAAAAAAGAAAAAGAAACCGTGCCCCGGATTCCACTTTCTCATAGATCAGAATGGCAAGCACCTAAATTGCTCCCTCTTTGTTGGATGATGTATGGGAATAGTGGAGCAACCAGCACAGCCAAGTGACACTGCTGTACCGTGTAAAGCAGACCGAGATCTTAAACGTTAAACTTTAGCTTTTCACCTCAGAAACTAAATCATAGACATTTCCCATACCAGGGTTTATTTATGTGAATGAATACTTTATTTTAAATGGACTTTTACCAATTTTCTTTTTCTCTATAATCAGTATTCACAGTTTCCTTTGCTTCTACGTGGGAAGGCTTAACATGAGCATTAATAACTCACTTCATCCCTTTGGGAACAGGAGGAGAACGGATCATTTCCATTTAATTGCAATCAATTTAGGAGCATAAAACAGCAGGATATGATGAAACACTGCCTCGTATTTCCCAGATATTGGATCATTTAGGACACCTAGGAAGCATACCAGAGTGAAATTATTTTTAATTGCATACTTACAGAATCAGACACAGCAACATGAACAAAGCTTTCAAGTATTGAAGGACTGAGCTGGTCCAGGACATCAATCATAGGCTTGTCATCTTCCTAAAAAGTAAGAGCACAACATCAATGTCATGATGAATTCAGGGGGAATAAATTAAACCAACTTTTCACATAATATGCTCATTCTCTGCTATGTGCAATCAGTCAATCTTCATATAAGATGCAGAGCCGGATTCTTTACATCTACAGAGATAATAGCAAGTTATCCTTAAAGTTTCCAACCTTCCCAGATGAAGTCAACCATCATTAGGCCATATACTATCAGAGAGCTGAATGTGTGTGCTTGAATTGGTTAAGTCCATAATAGAAGTCACCAGCACTCGAGGATATGTGCAAGAAGTAAAGCACTTTTTATTAAATTGTCACATGTGTCATATAGCCAACGTTTCGGGGCCAAGCAGGGTCCCTTCTTCAATGTCGCCCAGAAGAAGGGACTCTGCGTGTCCACAAAACATTGGCTGTATGACACATGTGACAATTTAATAAAAAGTGCTTCACTTCTTGCACACATCACCGAGTGCTGGCGACTTCTATTATGGACTGTATCTGACACGGCGCCATCCGTGTTGTCACTTCAAGCACCAACCTTTCATCCAAGGTCTGTACGCTGTATGGAGTGCAGGTGGTTTCTTATTATGAATTGGTAAGTACACGCATGCATGGAAGTAAGAAGATGGGGAGGTGTTAGTGAAGGTTTATTCAGGGTGGTTAAGGGAAAACATTTTTAAAGTTACAGTTGCAATTTAAGGGAGTGACGGAAAGGAACAGCTAGCAGATCAGCAGCTGAACACCAATCCTCTCCATCAGAAGAGATCATGTGACCAATGTTCCCACTTTAAGTCAAGTGACCAGCACCAGAGGGGTCCTTGAGCACTGATACCTGCAGGAATGCTAAGTATTTCAGCACACTTTATGATTTATCAGGGACAGGATAGACAGGACAGGGAAGATGATTTGAGTATAGTTACACTTGAAGAATATCCAAAATTGACCAGCTTTGCAATGCTCCTTCATGCTTATTCTTTCATGCACAAGCTTACACTGTACAGTTAATGATACTGTATTATCTATAACACAGAGTGAAATTACAAAATAACAAATATGGAGTCTCACCTCTGCTTGTCCAAGTGCAATAAACAGTGCCCGAACCTCTTTGAGAATTAATACTGCTACTTTACGTGTAGCCAGCTGGAAACTGCAAAGTAACAACAGTGCAAATCCCTCCACTGCATGCAGCACATTGGAATAAGGACCCCGTTCTGACTGTATCCTATGGCTGGAGCCATTCGGAATGAGCTGGAGTGAAAAAAAAATAATCACATTGGTTACAATTAAGATAAATAAGGACTGGCTCTATTCTGATAAATGTGAAACAGAGGCAAAACCAGATCAGTGATTGCCTCTGCCTGACCAGGGGCACAATTAGCACTGCTAGTCTGCAGCTTGGACAGAAACAATCATTTTATTACTGATTTTTTTTCCTTATTTTACTAACTGATTGTGCAAATAAGGTAAGAACAAAGTGACAATTTCAGTGTTCATGATCTATGTTACAATCCTATTACAAAGCATTGCTACAACCCAAAGCTTATTAAGAGGTATGAATACCAGTACAGATAGCAATTCTAAACATTACAGGACAAGATTACGAAAACCCTAAAATTATGATTTGGAAGTAGATGAGGAATGATGTTGAGAAGCATTGGCATAGATTACACAAACTTTAGGCAAATCAAAATGCCTTTCATCTAAATGGTAGAAGTCCAACTATCCTTGGTAACCCAGGAACGGTTCCTAATCGCCTAATCTGCATATTTAAAAGTGCACATTTTGCTAGAATCACTCAATGAACATTGAGCCATGTAACACTTGTACCATGCTTAAAGCATAACATTTGTTTGACTTCTGCCCATGCGCTGGTTGTCCAGCAATCAGCATCGGAAAACTGCCGGCTATTACCAGTGATACCATGCTATCTACATCCTGTGACTGTAAAGCCTGAATGGAAACTGCTTGAACGTGCGTTCTCTGTACCCTGATGCTGTCAAATACTTTTTTAGCATGAGGGAGGGGG